CATCAGTCTGAATGTTTCACATTTTAACCAAATTTCAAGAAACTCTGCAAAAGTAAATGCAAATGAAAGCACGTTTCTATCGGGTCTAATTCTGCTCAGTCTAATGGCGTCAGCTCTGGTTTCACTGCTGCAGGTCTTGGGCCTGTGTCTCAGTCCAGTATCAGGTGGGTTTTGAGGAGGGAAGATTAAAAATTTGGCTCAATTCACCTCAGCTTTGTTCCAACGAGGACACAGAGACTGAGCTTGTTTTGGGATCATTTTAGATTTGGGCTGTTAAAGGGACTTTGACTCAGTGATTAGTCAAGATTTATTGACTCTGAAATAGCAATTCATGCTTTTATTAGTTATGCAGCGTATCTGTGGGCCACCCAGGCATCTCTTTCTCATCTTCAGATGATTCAAAACACTGCTGCTCGTCTTTGGACAAGCACATGAAAATCTGACCACGTTACCCGTCCTGGCCTCGTTGCACTGGCTTCTACTTCATTTCAGAATAGATTTTTAAATTGTTAATTTTCATTTATAAGGCTCCACTTTCTTTTATTACAGCGGCACAGGCCTCCAAGATCCCTTAGATGGTCAAACCAGCTTCTTTTAGTGGTTCCAAGGGTCAGGTTTAAGTGGTGGGGTGAACGGGGACTCATAGCTGGAGCTCCCAAACGTTGGAGTAGCCTTCCTCGGAGTCAGATCAGCATTTAAGCCTTTGTTTAGTTTTCTATCTGGTGGAGTTTGATACCGAGGCTTTTTGATATTTTTACTTTATGACTTTTTACTGTGTATTTGACTGATTTATGATTTTGAGTGTTTGTGAAGCACTTTGCCAACTAGACGTTGTTCTAAAGGTGCTATAGAAATACATTTAGATTTTGAAATAAAAAGGTTCAACACTGACTTCTGTCGACTTATGTCCAGGTTTGGAAACAGGACTTTACAGGACTTATACACATTTGCCTTGAGGCAGGTGGCGGGTCGTCCACAGTTCAGCTCTGATCCCTCAGACCACGTGCACAGCAGCTCGATGTGACTGTTTTTCTTCACAGGTCTATCCCCAGAGAGGACAGCAGAGACAGAGGGAGCGAGGAGGGAACACAGGCAACACTCACCTGCTGTTTTTGCGAGGCAGCGGCAAATCCTTCTGGAAGAAAGACAAAGGACAGAAAGGGAGAGCGATCAGGTACAGAAAAATATAAACACACACTTTCATATGGGTGATAAAGAAAAGCTCAACTACTGAGATTTTTCAAAAGATGTCAGGTGTCAGCAAATGTCCAAAAATAAATAAATAAATGAACACCCCCATTCATAGAAAAACTGCCCGCACACTGACAATGAAGTAAAGCTGCTCTACCCGCTGTCTCTGACCCCACTGCGTCCGACCCACTGCGTCGTCCTCACAAAGCCATTCAGTGACCTAGAGCTGCAGCCATGAGTCAGTTCACTGGTAGAAAATGAACCTCAGCTATTTAGAAGCAACAGTCACCGACATGTTCTGGTTCCACCTTCTTTAATGTGAGGAGCTGATGCTTTTCTTTGTCAGACATGAGAATCAGCTGAGTCTCTGTGGGTCTGTGGGTTGGACACAACAAGTGGAGACGCCACCTTTGGCTCTGGAGAGTGTGTATGTCTGTTATCAAACCGGTGTGTCTGTTACTTTCTCACAATACACTCCTCCCTCCCTCCCTCCATTCTCCCCTCTCCTGAGTCCAGATGGACTAGGAACACTGAGAACAGCAGCACCAAACACAAACTGTGAGCAAAGTCAGATCTTGTGCCAACACAGCCTGGCTCTTTACCCAGAGATGGAGAGAGAGAGAGGGAGAGGACGGAGGCTTTAAACAAGGGTGGAGCAGAGAGTGCGTGGCTGCAGCCTCAGCTCCGTGTATGTGTGGATGGAGTTGGTGATAAACAGCAGCTTCACACCTGCTGCTGTAGCATGCAGGGTAATGTCCACTGGTAACATTGATCGACCTCCTGTTAACCGCAGTCAATGCAGATATTAGGTTAACCTTCAGATATCGATTTTGTGTGTGTGTGTGTGTGTGTGTGTGTGTGTGTGTGTGGGTGGACATGCTGCTGATGCACTGAATGTGTAGTGTATGGCTGCCTGCTACAAGGACAGACTCTCCAGCACAGCAGAGGGTTTTATGTTGTTAGCCTCCATCCACAAGGTTAAGTCTGTGTCTCAGATAACGAGTACCTTCAGAGAACAAAGCTGCACAAACACCGGACACTTAAGAAAACAACAACTAATGTCCTTCTCACCTCAGGATCTCAAGCCAGTCAGACACATGGCTCTGTGCCTGCATGTTAACAGAGGCCAGGCCCTGTTTACAAGGACGGCTGCATATGAAACTCATTGATCTCTCCTCACTTTGTCCTTTATCAGTCAGGCTGATTAACCCTGAGCCATCAGAAGAAGAAGGGCTTCTGATCGAGGAGAGGGTTAACTGCACCGAGAAGCCTGTGACAGAGAAGCTGTACAGTCCCTTGTGAACCACATAACACGGCAGAATCGGCTGTTGGCAAGCCATTCAAACAGCTTGTCATCAGCTCGCCAGGACGACTGCTATGGGTCAGTAAGGCCCTACTCCACCTACCAATGAGGAGCCCTCTAGTGGCTGTAAAAAGAAGTACATCATGTGACATAGTACCATAAGTACATGTTTATAACAAATGGTGACTAATTACAAATGATATGAAATGTTGACCCCCGTCTCTTCCTAAACCTAACCATGTAGCTACAGCAACCGGCCCAGTGAGCAGGATCATGCTGATTTATTTTATATAATTCAGTTTTTATTTTAGTTATTCTTAGTGCATCGTTGAAAGGCGGACAGAGGGTAAGGTGCACAGTATACCTGCCTATCATACCCTAAAAGATGACCCGGACCTGACCCAGATGAAGGATTTTAGGACATTTTGTGCAGTTTTGGATCTCATTTTTCACAAGGGACCCATCTGTGTGAGCGAATGCTGTGCCTTGGTGGAGGTACATGCACTCTGAGTTCTCTTCTTAGAAAATGGTTGCACTTCCTTCTTTGACCAGACAGCCCATAGAGAACCTGAGTACACAGCGACATCCTGGAGCCTGACACTGCGTGTTCTCCCTGCAGGTGTTGAGCTGTTTGCTGTCACATAAACAAGGCTGTTTTACATAAAGAACCTATTCTGAATTAGAAACAAAACTAAAATCTAAGTGCATGGCTCCTACCAGTCAGACTGAGACTGCTCAGACCTCTGGTATCTGAATGCAGACCTGTGACCATGTGCTCAGACTGTTTGATGTCCTTCTGAGGCCTCCTTTATGTTGTCTACACAGTTATAAAGAACCAGTTGGCACATTAACCAAAGTGCGGCCGTCTGTTGGTACTGAATGATGCTTCTACAGCGGAGGTGCTGCACACACAGAAATATAAAGCATGCAGCAAAAAGCTTTTCCACAGGTCTTTAAACATACTTTACTTATGTAGGAGAATTTATTTAGCTTATAAAATGAATCAAGTAACCATTCAGTTTATCAGAAAAATTCAAAATCAGGAAGTTTAGAAGTTTGTGGACTTCAGTGGACATGAAGGGTGAACGTGCCAAGTAAATGTTGGGCAATAAAAAAGTATATCTGCCCCTGAAATAGAGTCAAGTACCAAGTAGCAGAAAGTGGAAATACTCACATACTGTGAATATGTAATACTTGAATAAAAGTCACCAACATGCCCTCCAATCGCTTGTGGCCAAAGCGTGAAGACGAGTGGAGCTAGTACTGTAAGTGTGGCAGGAGGCCGTTGGAAGTCGGACTCTAACATGGACTTACATGCAGCCAAATGGTGCGAGCGTAGGTACACATTGTTATGTCGGTCTGCATGGGACATTTACTCAGCCGATCATGGGATCATGGCAAAAATAAATAAATAAATCCCAGTATTGGGCTCAAACTGTCTGGACTATTGGTTTTTGGTGGAATGGCACCACGGGATCCTGAGCTGCCCTGGTGGGGGTTTGCACTCCCTGTCTAGTGTGTTTATGGTTTTATTCTACCTCCAGATTACTCCATGTGCTCACAGACCCATGCTGGGGCTGCAGATGGCCTGTTTCTCTCAAAGCATGATGTTTTTGTCTTTGGTGCACTCACACAACTCAGTGCATGTCCTGTGAACGTCAGTATGTGTGTGCACACTCCAGGAGATGTTTTAACAGCCTTGTGTTTTGAGTCACCGTCATCGTCAGTGCATCACTTGTTCATTCACTGGAGAAATGTATAAAGACAAAGAGCCTGTTGAAATGCAGGACCACCTGTCATCTCCAGCACTGACCAAGCAGCGACCTCCGGGGCTGAGAGAGGAAGCCAATGTGGAAGTGCCAAAACCTGCAGTTCCTCAAACGGCCACTAGAGGCTGGCACCGTAAGGGAGTCAGTCCCCAGAGACTGCGGTGTTAAAATGCGCAACAGAAATGGACATGTTTACAGAAAGGTGTTGGTCTCTGTAGCTAACTTATCCTTCAATGACAACTGTATGAAAGGTGAATTTTTTAATAACTCACTCACTTTGAGTGGCAGGTGGGAGGGTCCCGCCCCGCCCTAGGCAGCGGCCCACTAGCTCCACCTCTTTGCCCATTTTTGGATTAGACATAACGCGCGGACTGAAGCGCTACCAAGATGGCGACGGCCAGACTGATGTCACGGGTGACGTCACGGTGGCTTGGTCCAGTCTTTATAGAACCTGATGTAGGGCTGACAGATAGAAAAGGCAGCAGTGCTACACACACATAAGATGTTCTGGTGCAGACGGTTTATTTCTATTCCCTGAACACCACGCCACTTGAGCAAAAGGTAGAAATGTGAAGTTTTCTTTATTTTCTGCAGCGACAGCACCTTCAGGGGGCTGTTGGTGTGTTGACGGGCACTAAAACCATTAGCTTCAGACTTAATTAGACAATACACCCCGTGAAATGAATCATGTCCAAAACAAGCTTAAAGATGAACAAACCGTTAACCAAACACAAAAGAACACAAAACAGATAATATCAAAAACAGAACACGTACAAGCAAAGACTCTCCTACAACCAGAATTGACCCATGATAACGAGCAGGAAGTGAACCAGTCAGGGGCCGAGAGCATTATGGGTTCCAGTGGAAACTTTTGGTAATTTATCAAGTGTTTACTGATCATCTGACAGAAGCGTTTCTCTTGATTTATTATTATTTATTCTGTTTATTTCACATTAAGGGTACAGCTCACTTCCCTTAACCGACTGCTGCTCACTTCACCCAGAAGTCGTTCTGGCCCAGAACATTGAAGGTGTCCCAGAGCTTTTACTCCTACTCTGAGGATCAAGGATGGAGGCGGCTGCTGGAGGAGTCATGAGGGAGGACACAAGGGACCGTCTTTCGTAGAAGTTCCTTTATTGGCAGTCATTCAGTGACTTGATGTTTCAGATGAAGGACATCTGCTTCCCGAGTCTGTTATTTGCACCTTCATTTCCCCCACTTGCATCTTTTCCTTGCCTCTTAGTCCCACCCTCCTGAGAAGCAAGGAAAACATGAGGAAGGAGGACTCGAGGAAACAACCTTGTTAAAAACATGAGATGTCCTTTCCTCCAATCCTTCATCTGATGCGTCCAGCCAATAACTGATTTCTGATAAAGAGGTGTGTCCGTTCATCATGGCTCCTCCAGCAGCCACCTTGATCCTCGCTACCCAGAGCTGGTATGAGGAGCGGGACCTGGCTACAGACAAGATGGCAGATTAGGACCAAGACTTTATGCTACAGTTGGGGTTAACGTTGACCCTACACCCAACTTTAGACCTAACTGTACGCCTGTCTGGTGAACAACTTCTAGCCAATAACGCCAACTTCCTCCCAAAATCAGAAATCTGTCAAATTGTCTGCAACCAGATACTCGATATAAGAACCTTGAACCCTCCTCAATCCTCACTCGACCAGAATGACTTCCAGGTCGACTGAGGACACGGTAACGATCATATAAAAGAGCTGGGAAGCAGCCGTCACCTAATGTCTCTACAACTGTGTTTCCTCAAATCCTCTTCCCTCTTATTTGTTTCTTGCACATTATATGTAGACGCACTTCAGGGGATTTGGATGTACCCTTAGTTTTAGCTAGGTGTCTCTAATAAACTGACCAGTGAGTGCATGTTCCAGCAGGACACAGCAGCAGAGTGACAGGACGCAGCACAAAGATGATGAACAAGCCAAACTGGGGGGAGCAGGCTGTGTCACCGTATGGTGCCGAGGATGAGGCAGAGAGGTGACGTGGAGATGCTGCGACCCAGGGGAGCGGTGGGACAGCACACACACAGAGCTCACATCAGAACACATCATGACAACACACAGACATCACAGACAGAGCTTCTCCAGCCTCAGTCCTGCTCGTATCATTTCCTCTGTAGCCTCTAGATGTCTCCAGACTCTGTGTCAAATAACTCTTTACTTACCACATGGCTATCTTCTGTGTCCCAGCCAGACTGTCTTGTGTTCTCCTGCAGTGTTCCTAGTTAACCTTGTGTTTGGATTCACTCATCTGTTTCGGACTGTGCTTGGATTTCTCTCTCTGGCCTGTTTCCCTGTTGTGGTTCCATGGGTTTCCATTATATCCTTGTTCTTGGATTCTGCTCTGTTGATTTTTGCCTCTTGCCTTTCTTCCGCTGGACTATTCACCCAGCCTGCACTGATTTCTGTTGTCGTCCTGCTTTTAGACCCTGCCTCGACTTTAAGCGAGACTTCTATTTTATGGTTTTCCTAATAAAGCCGTTTGGGGCCACTCTCCTCGTTTTACCGTTTATCAGAGAGTGTCACACACACACACTCACAGGCGTATCGAGCTGGCCTGCCTACAGAACATCTATAAAATGCCAGTGACTGAGTCTGACTGATGATTAATCCCCTTGCAGCTCTGGTCATACATCACAGCAGGAGAACAGTGAGCTGACGATGAGACATGAGAGCACCAGCACACCTCACCACTAACCCTCCCTGGATTCCTTAACTACCCCCTTCCCTCTGGTTTACAGTAACAGGGGTCAGTTTGCCTGTGAACAGCTCAGAGCTGACAGTCCTAATGTGGCCGCCATAATGTAGATAAGGTGAACACACTGGTGGGACTGGGGTGGCCGAGGCTCAGGAGGTAGAGCAGTCGTCTCCCGTTTGGACGGTTAGTGGTTTGATTCCCGTTCTCCCCAGTCCACATGTCCAAGTGTCCTTGGTCAAGACACAGAACCCATAGCTGCCCCTGGTGGCCAGGAGACATCGCCACCATCAGTAAGAGATTTTTCCACGGGGATTAATAAACAAAATAAAACACACACACACACACACACACACACACACACAGGTAGTGGACCCTGTGCCTGGCCAGACACAGGGGAGTGGCTGAGTGGGTGCATGGTCCATAGTTAAACCAGCTGCTTCATAACAGGAGTGACGATTCTTTAGGTTCCGTGTGATGAGAGGTGACATCACATCATGTGTGTGGGACATAAACACAGCTGGGCCACTGCTGGTTAAAGCATCGCACACATACTGAACCGTTCCCTTGTTTAAATCCTGCAGCAGCCACTAAAAGACTAAAAATAATCAGCAGCTAATCAACTAAACATGACATTTGTTAAGCTAAAGGAACGTGTCAGCCTCCGTCTTCTTACAGTGCAGTAAAGTGAATGTCTGAGTCGGTTACACAAAGAAGACCTGGTCAAAGGTGTCACCTCGGTGTGTTGCAGACTAAATCCAACATCCTGTCTGTGCTAGTGTGGATCCTAGAAAACCACTGCAAAGTGTAGCCTCATGTTCTTTTTAAGACTCCTCTGGCATTGGGTGAAGAGGAGCTAATCAATGGAAACATGATGAAGACAAACTGAGACCTGAAGGTTGTAAAGATGATACTGAACTTGTACATAAGAATTTCCATTAGCCACCAAACTCAAACTCAAACCCGCCCCTGAGCACTTATCGTGGTGAGATGTTTGCTGTGCGGCCCACAGCTGGAAACTGACAGATGTGTTTTAAGGGAGCACACGCCAAAGGATGATGACGTGCACCAGCCTCACCTGCAGCCTACGGCGCCGTATTATCCCCGAGTCATCCATGGCGTGGTGCAGAGCTGCGGGGCTCCTGGGGGGGGGGATTTGTCCGAGCTGTGTTTTGACCCGAGAGGGCTGCGGTGTCCACTTCACACCCGAACAGCACCAAAGAGGTCACGTTGAAACAGCACACACGCCAAACGGTCCCATGTTGTCTGATTAAAGCAGTATCTGTGAGACTGCGGCGGGGCTTCTCGCGGCTCCAACGCTCCGTGCACTGGGGACCAGCCGAGCAGACACTTCTGCTGTTTCCTCACCTTCACTTACAAAGGACAGCGCGTCCACAGCCGATTACTTCACACACGAGTTGAGCAGCGCTGCGCCGAGACGCGTTTCACTGTCGGACGCCCCGACGAGCCGCCGCTGACTCCGCGGAGGAGCCTGTCCAGTCCCGTAAACATCACCGTGAGCGAAGACGCCACGTCCGCCCCCTCCCCCTCCTCAAAACGGCATCAAGTTCCAACTCCTGTCCGCTTCATCCATCCCGTCGCTGATCCTACACACTCGCTTCCTATTAAAGGAGCGACAGCAGCAACGCGATGTGTGTAACCCCTTCCTTCCTGGGACTCCCTGTCGCTCCTCCTCCTCTCAGCGGAGTGGCCCCTCAGTGAATGAGGAGCCTCCACCCGGGGCCTGAGTATGGGCTGGATGGTCCCAGCTCACATCTGGGACACAGGCTGCAGCACTTCCTGCATTTGGCTCAGTTACTCTCCTATATTTACACTTGACCAACACAGTTTTGGGGACAGTTGCAACACTTCACTACCACAACGCATTAAAATGGTCCTTAGCTTTATGTTTACTCATATTTGTCTGGAGAACTGAACCGTTTTTTAAAAGAAAAGAGAACTAAAAGTCACAGCTGATGTGTTTTGTTGGCGAGTACAGGTCTACACTGGGCTGGCAGTTAATCTGACCATGTTTCAGTGTGACACAGGACACAAACATGAAAAACAGACCCCTACAAGACCTGCAGACTGATTTGTTGGCTGAGATGGAGCCGTCGGGCCGGTCTGGCTGTACGAGAGGCTCATCACCTCAGTGCTGATGGCAGTGCTTTGTTCTGTAGCCTGTACACTGTTGCCTTTCCCGTCAGCGCTGTCACAGATGTAAACACTGCAGTACCAGCATGAGAGGGACTATTGGTTTCTGAGCTTACAGTAAAAAGCCAGGTGTAGGTGGACACCTGGCCGTGGAAGCACAAATAACCGAGTCGCTGCTCAGCGAAGCGCTGGAACACAAAGGATGTACTGTAGCTTTTAGATCCTCTTACATAATGACTTGGTGGTGGAACATCTGCTCAGTGTGGTTCTGTTCATCACTGCAAGTCTCAAAGACAAACCATCCTGCTGACTGTCCTGTTCACAGAGGTCGTTAAAGCTGTTCAGCATCAACTCATTTTCACAACATACCTCTGAAATGGAGGTTTCAGTGCTGGAAAGTAACTAAGTGCATTTACTCAAGTACAATTTCGAGGTATTTGTACTTCACCTGAGTACTTCCATGTCCTGCTCCTTCATCCTGTGACTCCATGTCAGAGACAGACCGTGTACTTTTTACTACACTACATGTACCTGATACCTTCAGGTCCAGAACCAGATGAACCAAACCAAACCCAGTAGAACCATCAGACTCTATTGATCCCAGTAGGAAATCCACCAGCTACCCAGCAGGATGGAAAGTACTTCCCAGTATAAGTATATAAGGTAGTTATGGTCACCAGGCTGCTCTGCACAGTGACTAGTTTTAGTACTTCAAGTATATTTTGGACCTTTAAATGTAATGGAGTATTCTTACACTGTGCTACGTTTACTTTTTACTGAAGTACAACACTTCATATTGGACCTTTAAATGTAATAGAGTATTCTTACACTGTGCTACGTTGACGTTTTACTGAAGTACAACACTTCATATTGTAGGTACAGCCTCATGCGTCGTGCTGCGAGGACCCACAGCTGTCCAGATGCTTCTCAGTTGCTGTGGCGGATGAGAGAGGAGGCCGTGACCTGGAAAGCTTTACAGCTCCCATCTGCTCTCATGCTGCGTTTGCACGGCTCTTTGTGAGGAGCAGCTTGAGCTGTGCGCTGAAATGCTCTGGTGGATTTGTTGAAATAAAGCTGACTCTGTATTCGACTGCTGCTGTTTGCTGTATTTTTCCCAGTGGTCCTACAACATTAATACTCTGTTACTGTGAAGCTCTGGTTTCCTGGAGACGTCTCCTCTTCTCAGCTCACAATAAAATCACCACCGTGACCCCCTGTGGTTAGACACAGCAGCGCGACGGTGCATGACCACCGTGTACTAATGTTGCTTTGTGCGCCTCCAGATATCAATGTGAATTAAAATATATCATCAATTTTTTCTATCCACAAATCAGATCATTAATCATCCATGCAGCAGAAAACAAGCCAGTCTCCAGGACGATATCAAAGCAAAGGCTTTGGGCTAATTTCACACTCACTCAAAAGGACACATGCGTTAGATAAATGAGCGTGAGCACCGCTTTATCTGTAGGAGTCGTGCTAAGGCCAGAATTAAACACAGCTTCCTAGTGCCACGTTAGAGTCAAGGCATCGGACGTCATCGCTCCTTCTGCCTTCCAATGCACAGTACAGGTGGGTCAGCTGTGGACACACTATGTCCATAATCCCTGATTCCTGTCTTTGTGTCCTAGGCTGGAATTACACACACCCACAGTCCTGCATCTCCAATTAGGTCAAAGGTCAAAGTGTTAATTAGAAGGCTAAACGGATCCCCACAGACGGCCTGTGCACATTCATTGAGAAGATCTTGAGATATTTCACAGAAGAATGAAAACTTTATTGCCAGAGGAAAAGTCAGGGGGGTCAACAAAGTCCCTCAGAGAGCTGAGGAAAACACACACACACAGCGACGCACAAGTGCACAGCAGCATCCAGAACAGAGCGCACAGCTGCAGCTTCGTGCTCCTGGTGTCACTGCACAAGCAGAGTAATGGGACAAACACCGTTTGTCTGGATGTTCTCCTGCCTTCCACTGACCGCTGCAAAGCCCACGCTCCTAATGCACACATGGACCTGTCTGCGCCCTTTGTCGTGAGAAATCCTCCCAAAGATCACCCCGATTTGTCCCACGTGTCCCTTTATTCCCCTCTTATACACGACATTTCTCAGGACCCAGACATTGTTCCTCTGGAATTCATGTTTCATTTTCCTTGTTACGAGGAAATGAGATCTGATAAACAAGAGGCTCTGTCCCAAAAAGCCATCGTCTGGATGTGAGAGAGACGACAAGTTAAGCA